TCGGGAATCCAGGGCTCATGGAGCTCAGTGTGGGCTTGAGTGGTAGCTTTGCACAGAGTCCGCAAAGCTCTCTGTGTCAATCTGGAAGCCCAGGGGAGCTGGGGGCCTCTCCTGTGCCCAAGATTACGAAGCTTATGCAGACGTGTGGTCCCTGGGGACTCTCACTCATCCTTTCCTCACAGCTGGGAGCCTCCTCTGGCTCTGCACCAATCCTGGGTGGGCAGCTGTCCTGCCTTGCTTTTCTTTGCTTTCTGTGGGTCGCTGTTGCTTCCTTGATGAATCAAAACATGGCCTCCTGTATGATCCACTTGAAGAACTAGTGTTTACTTGCCACTTTGCCTCTTCTCCATGACAGCAGCATGCACTAACTGCTTCTAGTCAGCCATCTTGGCAAGTCAGCCATCATGGCGTTTCTTTTACTGACTTTCTTTATTATCTTGACAAAACACAGAATATTTCCTTGGCCAATTACCTAAAAGGTAAAAACAAAGCAAGCAAACAAAAAGTCTTTTCATAATTTCCTATTAAAAGTAGACCAATACCTCAAGAAAAAGTTGTTTTAACATAGGGGATGAAATTCTAATTTCCCTTCATAGTGTTTTTGATATTAATGCTTAATTTTTAGAAAAATGTACAAATAGCACATCTAATCTTAACTAGCTCAATCACATATAACGTTTCTTTCCCAAGGTTCCTCTTCTACAGACTTTTTGTATTAGTCCATTCTCAATGAAGAAACAGCCAAGAATGGGTAATTTATAGAGGAAAGAAGTTTAATTGACTCACAGTTCCGCATGGCTGGGGAGGCCTCAGGAAACTTATAATCATGTTGGAAGGCAAAGGAGAAGCAGGCACTTCCTCACGGGGCAGCAGGATGGAGTGAGTGCAAGCAGGGGAAATGCTAGATGCTTATAAAACCATCAGATCTTGTGAGACTCACTCACTATCATGAGAAGGGCATGGGGGAAACCACTCCCATGATTTATCTCCACCGGGTCCCACCCTTAACATGTAGGGATTATGGGGATTACAATTCAAGATGAGATTTTAGGTGGGGACACAGCTAAACCATATCACTTTCTAATATCCAGTCAGTTTTTTTCTCCCCCTATACTTCTTTCTCGTTTTGGATCAATCATTCTACTTTAGAACAAAAATTTTTCTCCTTTTGTTTTAACAGAGCAATACATATCCTCATAACTTATGCTTTTCCTTACCAAGAGCACATCTTACCTATATTGTATACTTGCATATAAAATAGTTTTCCTTATTTCTAGTAATTTTAGTTATGTATTTTAATTAGAATTCTTAGCCCTTTATGACCTTAATTTCTAGTGAACACTAGGAAGAAAGCAAGTGTGAATATCATACCAGCAGTCTATAGATTGGAAAATCTGTGGATTATAATTCTAGGAGCATGTACTGTTTTATACTATATTTTTTTCAGTGTGGCACAGAACATTTATTAACAGTCCCAACTGTCTTTAGTCTCTCTGTGGTAAGAAATGGTAGAGGAAGCAAATTTTTATTTCTATCTTGTTAGGGCTTTTTTTTCCCCCGTCCTTCATAAGAATATTAAAAGTTTCTAGTATAGCAAGGACATTTTTCACATAGGAATTCTATCTTACCTCTATTTAACACTTGCTTTTAATAATTATGCTTGAAGTGCTCATAAAGATGAGATATTAAATAGCTAGCCATCACCTTAAGTTATTTTTCTTGCTGACAAGTTATGTCACATAGAGATAGCATGAACTTATTTTACTAAATAAACCTAGGGAAGAAGAGTTGTGCATCTGTATTATACTAAATGCTGACAACTCTGAAGGTATGCCTGCGTTAGTCAAGCCAATATACTTTTATTAGCTACTATTTACCAAAGATTATCCAAGATTATGTAAACATGAAATATATTTTAGGTTTGTTTCTAAGGGTTTAAGGAATACCTATTTTATGTAAGAACTTATTTTTCTTTAAGCCAATTAAATAATTCTCTTTTACAATTTAATTTTGGCAATACCATAAGGAAAAAGAAATATATTACACATTCATAACATACATACTGTCATATATAAATATAAACATAAAAACAAATCTTGTAGTATTCATTTAAAAAGTTTAGCCCGGTGCCAAGTACAGTAACACAAAGCTCCCTAATATGTTAAATGATATCTGGAAGTGAATTTTTTTCTGGCCCATGAGACAAGATTACGTACCCAGATAGCTAAAGCTTTTGACTGATATTTGTAGAAAAGACAAGATTTTTTCAATTCGCCTTCTCTAAGACATCTTTTAAAGAGGAAATCTTTGATTCATTTAATATCTTAGATGTTTAATACTTCTGTGTATCAATTAAAGAATGTGTCCCATTGCTTTTGTGGTATGTTGGATCCTTTCTTCTCTAATGTGCCTCACAAGCGATCAATTTTATCTTGGTTAACACTTCACTGTGGCCACTGTAATTCCTTCTTGTCCTTAGTGAAGTTAACAGGTTTAAAAAAAATGCACAGGTTCTGGGGCCATACTTTTTGTACATAGAGAAAATTGTGCTTATTTTTGGTGTTTTTAAAGCGATAAACATTGGGTTGATACAAGAAGCTAGCAGGCAGCTTCACTGATATTTCTTTAAGGCAAGTTTTTCTTTTCCTTTTTCTTTATCATTGTCTTCATCTTCTCTCTCCTTTCACTCCTCCTCTGAAGGTATTCCGGAAGAAGATGGAAACATGTAGGCAATAGTCTTTCCGCCACTGGAGATGTTTTATCGTATTCAGAGAAACTAAATGAGATATACCAGAATCCTCGCATATTCAAGTCCTGCAGTTGGCCCTGCAGAACCTTCATATATACAAAAGCCCTTCATATATGCAGATTTCCATTCCTGCAAATACTGTATTTTCAATATGTGTTTGGTTGAAAAATATCAGCTTAGAAGCTGATATTATAAGCTTGTAAACTGACATTTTAAGCAGACCTATGCAGTTCAAACCCATATTATTCAAGGGTCAACTGTATATTTACAGGTCACCTTTCATCTGAAGGACTTTCATGTCTACTACACAGGATGTTATAATGATCTATTGTCAAAAATGTTCTTTGCAACTTACAGAAACATGAGAGTACAGCTTGTGTGGCTCAACAGAATTCTGATAAACTCTAGGATTAAAAAGAGAGAAGAAATAAAGGCAGGGTTGAAAAATGAGAAAGAAATGATAGTCTTTTAGACAAGGAGTTAAGTATTCAATTCGCCATATTTTTGAATTCTACCAAGCTTTGGAACACTCTCCTTGGCCCAGAAAATCTATCAGGAAACAGTACTTGAGCTAGGCTGCAAGTGAATGTTTGCTATACTTTCGATTTGTTATGGTCCTGTGTAGGAGAGAAAATGCTAGGCAAATATTTGCACATTGCACTGTAAGGAAATAAAAAATGCATTAGAAGTGAATCAGTTGACCTCATGTTGTTTCATTAGAAGTAATTTCTTTTGGATTGTCTCTTTGCCTATAAATGTTCTTCCTTTGCATCTTAACAACAACTCTGTCATGAGTAGTCTGTGACTAGCTTTATTTTTTCCACTTTTGCTCCCCATGAATATGGTAAGTACCTCTCCCATTCTTTATGGGGCCTGCATTTTACATCCTGCAAAGACCAGTTACATTTAATCCATCCTTTTCTTTAGAGGAACATTTCTCAAATTATCTCTAATTTTTCGGTGTTTTACAGTAAAATGGATCAGGTCTAAGGGTTCTCTAAGAGAATTTAGCATTTGACATTTTTATTTTTATAGCAATTGAAATACATCAATAAAACATATTCAGAAAGGGCATTATATCAGACACTGCCGGCCTATTTTAGATTTTGTCATTTTTGATCATAGTTAGTTTTTGACCTTAATAATAAGGATTATTTTACTTATTGCCAGTGAGTGATAGGATAGAGCTTAACTAAATGCTTAAATGATGTGCCTGGATCCCCACATAGATCCACAGTTATTATATTCCTTAGGGTTTTGCTATAGCTATATAGAGGAAAGGGAATTCAGTCATCCCAATGCACATGGTACCCTGGGCATGCCAAACTCAAAAGAATCTGTACTACAGCAGCTATATGCACAATGTAAGTACCAATTTAGTTTCACCAAAAATCATCACTTTGTATTAAATTCGTATCACTGATTGGAATTGTATTGGCCGACCTTTTTAAGTTTTATATATGTTAAGATTCTGTAATTATATACAACTCTAAGTGTAAGAAAAGTTATTGCTAGTTTTATGTGGGTGCATATATAGGTAATATAATAAAAAATAATTTAGGTTGAAGGTTTATGTGGTAACTTTTCTCCTTAAAAGGGTTTTTTCCTGGAGTGATATCATTAAAACATTTAAAACAGATTTTATGAAGTAACTACTGACACTAGGGAAAAGAGCTGAGCTCCATTCTGATTTGTGCAGAGTGACTGGGTATTCAGGGAGAATAAGGGAATAGGAAAGAGGAACAGCAGGGGCCTGAGCAGAGTCAAGGAAGTGAAAAATTACAAAAATCAGAAAGTGGAGGTTGGTCCCTGTAAACCCATGTGGGTTTGTTAACTGGTGCTCATCAAAGTTAGACTCCTAACCTCCTTTAGAGATTGGGAGACAAGAGCCCTATCTTCAGGCATTGACTGGAGGAAACAGTCAATTCTTTTGTCTACCGTGAGCTGATCAGGCAGGAACTTTAAGGGGTGGGAGGGTAGGACCATCCTAGGGTTGTGGCCTTAGGCTTTTAGAAATTATTAATACATGCATGTTTGTTAAAGTCTTTATAGGTCAATGTTGAGGCTGAGCTGAAAAGAGTGCTCAGAGGAACCTGGAGAGACTTTGGTTAAAGAGAGAATCTTTGTCAGTGATAATTACAGTGTGGCACTTTCTCATAAACAGTGACTGCTATGTTTTAACTGTTGTTAAGTGAGCTTGATTTTAATATATTAGCTGAAAAACTATGAAAGATTATGCTCTTCATTTCAGGGCCGAGATCTGGACTATAAAATTCAGGAATATAAAGAAGCTGGAAAAATCTTTCCAGATAACCAAATAATAGAATGGTTTATCCAGCTGCTGCTGGGAGTTGACTACATGCATGAGAGGTATGTTCGTTTGCTACTGGGAATATGATATATTTTTAACAGTCATGTCTGAACTTGAAAAGTGAATTTTTTTCTATAATTGAAAGAAAACAAGTTCAAAAAATATATGATTGTAATTAAACATCTATAATATATTTTTCCTTGAGAAAACTGTTGAATGATTATATCTAGAGGATTTATTTGCATAGTTTTTTGTTGCTTTTCTAAAACTCAAGTTGGCCTTGAATATAAGACAGAAATTTGTGTTAAACACATTTCATTATATCTGATCATCTCCTATGAATTACAGGAAGTTCTCAGATACCTTTGGCATCCTATGAATTTGTTGTATCTTATAGCAGGCTTGAGTGGTAAATATCTTAGTATGCCGCAAATGAATTGTGTGGTCACCTTGGAATGTGTCAGTGCACACTTAGCTAGGTTCACATCCCAAAAGAGCTCAGTAATTGAGACAGAATGTATTCTTTAGCCTCAGAGAGATAAGTATTCAGATGGAAAGTCAGTTTTGATGTGAAGTATCTGAAAATGAAGGTCAATTATTTCGATTATCTACGATTTACATTTACAATCTCTGCCTCAAAAATGTATTTTAAAACTTTTAATGAATTTTTATAGGTCAAAAGTAAGAAGTTTTAGAAGTTAAATGTTTTAGAGACCCAGAAATGATATGAACACATTTGAAAAGATGAACATACATAGACAAAAAAGAAGTGGATACTCTGAGGTGTATATGGTAGCTCTCATCTTGGGAGTGGGCATTAATACATGGTACCATTCTTCTTGAACGAAAGGGGTAATTTATAAGGCACACCAAGGTCTAGCTATCCATGGATGTCAGATTGCTTAAATGTGTCATCTGTACTTTCTGCCAGCATAAAGAGTAATCGGATTATTTCATAATTTGCCATGTATCTCCTAAAACACATGCTTGTTGATACAGATAGCTACTGATTTATTGACACCTCACAACAATCTGTTGGATGATGTCAAACTATCTTAAGAAATCTTTTATTAAAAGATTATTTGACTTAAAAGAATCAAATAATCTTTTAATAAGGTACCCAAAGCTACTGACTATAAAACGTCTGTGTACATACATTTATATTGGTGTTTCTTTTATTTTCTTTACTACTTCTTAGCATATTGTTAGGTTACACACAAGAAAAACAACTAAAAAAAAACACACACACATATTAAGATGCTAACTATTGTATTCTATGCACAAAATACAAAACTGGAATCTGGTTGATTTAAGAACTCAAATAGTTTTGATACCTTTAAGACTGCTTAGTGATAGTTCAAATAATGAGTTTAAAATAACTGTTCAAACAAAGACTTATGATTTTTAAATCCTTTAATATTCAAAGAAAGTCATTAAATGAGACTAAATATTTGGATATTTGTGAATCCTTGGATCTGAAATGCAATCCTTTGTGATTCAGGTAACAAGTGATGGTGCTTCTTAGTCATTGTGTTATTATAACCAATTATAGTAAAGTTTTTGTGTACAGAGAAATTACAGTTTCATATTTCAGTTCATTAATTCCCTCGTTAGTGATAAATTAAAAATAAGTGTCAACCTCAAAGAGCTGTCAGTAAGCCAGCAGACATAAAACATGTACTCTTATAACTATAAGCCATGTACCATGGTGGATGTACACGATTTAGTGTCTCCACTACTCACTAGATTCATGACCTTGAGCAAGCTGATCATGAAAGCAAGCTCTCCTCTCTGAACCTGTTTCATCATCTATTAGGTTGGTGCAAAAGTAATTGTGGTTTTTGCCATTACTTTTAATAACAAAAGCCACGACTATTTTTGCACCTACCTAATATAAAGTAAGGATAATAATAGGACTCTCCTTGCTTACATTATGGGGTAGAAAATATGCGTTGAGATGTTATACAGTTTAAAAATTTGCAAAATGTTAAGCTCTGTGTAATGTCATTATAATTTAATATAGAAATGAAAGCACAGACATCAAAAGCGGTTTTAAAAACGATGACAGTAACAAGTGTTAGTAAGCATATGGCGCACCTGGAATTCTTTTATATTCTTAATGGGTATACATTGATATAAACACTTTTGAGACATGTTTGGCAATACTTCCTAAGCCAAACATACAAATACCTATGACCCAGTAATTCTATCCCTAAGGTAGAAGTGAGTGCTGATGTCCAACAAAAGGTATACAGAAATGTCCATAGAAGCCTTTTTTGTAATTGCGAAAACACTAGAAAATATTCATCTACAATGGAATGGTTACATGAGTGTGGTATGGCCCTAAAATGGACTTTTAAAATTACTATTCTATAATTTTAAAACAATAGACAATTGATAATAAGCACGACCTGGGTGAATCTCAGAGATCAGATGTAGGATGAAAGAAATCAGGTGCAAAAGAGTCTACACTGTATGACTACATTTATATGAAGTTCAAAAGTAGGCAAAACTAATCTAAGATAAGTCAGAATAGAGATTATATTTGCAATGGGGTTTTGCCTGGAAGGGGCACAAAGAAAGCTTCTGGGATGTTAGAAATGTTCTATATATTAATCTGGATGGAGGATTACAAGAGTGGTACATATGCTGATATATATGTAAAAAATCATCAAATTTAAGATTTTTGCATTTTAATGTAAGTTATACTGTAGTTTAAAACAAGTGATAAAAGTGCCAAGAAGAGTACAATTTAAGTGTTACAGGAGATCAGAGGAGAGATAACGTTTTCATTTGGGGAATCAATGGAGGCTTCTTCTTGGAAGAAGTAGCACTTGACCCAAGGTAGGTTTTGAGTATGATGAAAAATGGGTCAGAGCTTTCCAGATGTAGGGAACAGAGCACAGCCACAGAGGTGGAAAAACATGGAAATCTTAAAGAGAATGGTGAGTGGTTCTGTTGGGAAGGCTCTTGGAGTAATGAATAAAGTTGTTGGCAAAGTAGGCTGAGGTCAAGAGGGCTTTATTTTGGAGCATAGACATTGAACTCCACAAGAGCTTTTTGAGTGGAGTTATATAATATTGCCAGGAAGTGTATCTGCCAATTGTTTCAGGAAGGTTAGATGATAAATTATACCAAGGAGAGAAGATAACTTGGGTCATCAGTCAAGAACCTTTTATAATATACATGTGTGAGATTGTAAGGCCTAAACCAAGCTGGCAGAGGTGGGTAGAATGAGGAAGGATAATAATGAACTCAGTAAGTTGAAATGGCTGGACTTGAAATTAAGTTGATCTGTGACATGTGATAGAAGGTCAAAGATGAACCTGAGATTTTGTGCCTGGATGAATGAGAAGTTGGAAAGACAGGTTTGAAACAATGGTGATGAGTTTAATTGTGAATATGCTGGGTAGAATATGGAGAGAGAAGAAGAAGAAGAAGAGGGAGGAGAGAGAGAGAATGAGAATGAGAGAAGGAAGTTAGAAGTGAGACCCTGGATCTTAGGGAACCATCAGGGCTTGACTTTGTTTGGGTTCCTACAATATCAGAGCCCTGAAACAAAGACTAGGGTACAAGTAGATTTTTTAGGAGGTAATCTTAGAAAGCAGAAGCCAATGAGTGGGAAGAGTGAGAAGAAGCCAGAAAAGCTGTGCAGAATGCATGATTGAACTAGTGGCTGCTGTGGGTAGAGGGATGCAAAGGCAGGACTCTTCTAATAGTGTGTTAAGTTTTGGGTTTCTCTTCCTGATTTATTTCCGACTTTTTGGGGGAAAAAAAAAAAAAAAGCAGGCCGGGCACAGTGACTCACGCTTGTAATCCCAGCACTTTGGGAGTCCAAGGCAGGTGGATCATGAGGTCAGGATTTCGAGACTAGCCTGGCCAACATAGTGAAACCCCATCTCTACTGAAAATACAAAAAATTAGCCGGACATGGTGGCGAGTACCTGTAATCCCAGCTATTTGGAGGCTGAGGCAGGAGAATGGCTTGAACCCGGGAGGCGGAAGTTGCAGTGAGCCGAGATTGCACCATTGCACTCTAGCCCGGGCGACAGTGCAAGACTCCATCTCAAAAAACAAACAAAAAAACCCAACCTTGCTTAAATATAACTGTTGTTTTCTAGCACTATTATGAATTTCCTCTTGAAAAATTTCTTGTATTTCTGAGAATTTGGAGTGAGGAGGGGGAGGAAGGTGTCTTCCTCTTGATCCAACTTTAGAATGGTTTTTAAATGGAGCAGTTACATATATATATATTATTCCTGATTGTAAATGTGTAATCTATGTTTCACTTCTGTTGGTTTTCAATATTTAATTTAGGATAAAACATATTTCCTTCAGAAAATAAACTTATTTATCTTAATTATCTGATTTTAAAACATTTTAAATCCAAAAGAATGATTTTTTTAGCATATGGCATAAACATTTATAAATAATGATGTTAAAAAGCCAAGACTATTCACAGCTCACTGATAGCTACTTTGGGAATGTAGCACTAAAATATGTTCTTGCTGAAGGGAGTCATGCTGTATTAACAAAACTCCAATGTCAGTGGCTTACAGCAGCAATCATTTCCTGCTCGTGTTGCATATTGACAGATAGGGGTCATCTGCAAGTCTGCTCTACGTGTCTTCATTCCAGTACCCAAACTGAAGGAGCAACCCCTATCTGGGATGGGCTTTACTCCTGGTGGAAGGAAAAAGAAGAGAGCGGAAACCCCTTGCTCAGACATGACAATCATCCAGTCTGTTTACATGTCATTGACTGGAGAAGTCACATGACCACTCCTAATGTCAGAGTTGTGGGGATGCCTCTGGGATGCCTCTTCCTCCCAAAGGGAGCCCTCACTGCAAGGAATAAGAAGTGTGAATACTTGGGAACAAGAATGAGTCTACTACAATGTTTCACTCAGTTTTAAACTAAAATCTTTCAAATTACAGCTGATAAATGTCAGCTTGTCTACAAAGCATTATTCTAGTTTTCTCCTTGTATGATCTACAGTATATATTAAAGTATATTTTGAAAATTACATAAATTGGCTTACATATGAGTTAAGAAGATT